ATCGGGGGCGTGCTCGTGCTCGTCAAACCATCACGGTATCGAGTCACGCCTTCATGCTTTCTCACACAACGAATCTCTCTGAATCCTCACCAAAAGCCTCTCACAACCAAGGAAAATATGTAGAAAGTTCCTGTTCCTCCGCATCTCATCATTGCAATATTCGTACGTACGTACATAACATCTCAACCATCATACTATGCTACGAGTATATCGAATAGACTTGACATGTCTTGCTGCTGCTACGGCGAGTGCTCTTGGACACGCACACCGTTCGTTGTATCCTCATCGCCGCTACCACATATTTTTCATTATGCCAGCGATATCGTGCATGTAAGCTTCTTCCGGCCACAGACAGCCTTCACTGAAAACGAAAAGTGAACAATGTATACGCATCAGCAGCCTCGAAATTGAACGCCCGCTCCCGCACCACCTTGTGGGCACACGTCGGCTGGTTGCATAATAACGTGGCTGGAAGATCAGTTGGCAACCACGTACACCGCCAGGCTCAAGACGGCGGGTTCGAACCTTTCCAGAGTGAAAACGTGCGAGATCTGAAGCGAAACGAAGAACTATGTGGTGTGACTAACCACAGTTGGTAACCCGGTGGTGTACAGTGTAGCGGACATCCTCGTAACGTGTTTATCATATACGTAGTTGACTGTCAGATTACGGGCTTGTCGTAGAGGGTTTTCCCCCGTAGTTTCCGGTGGAAACCGAGTGTATTCGTGCGAGACACTTGTGGCCTTCCCTCGACATCCACAGGTACCTTTGGGACAACGAGCTAACCACCTTGCCTGAGAGAATATTTCAGAATGCAACGGCCATTCAGCAACTGTAAGTAGTTGTTCGAGATGTTTGTCGGTGGGAGGCTTTTCCGCGTGGGGTGAGCCAGCGATGGAAGAAAAAACACGCCACAGCCCATGAACCATGACACCCCAACGTGCGCGCCGGAAATCAACTGATAGGAATTTCGGTGGAGCACAAGTCGGGGGGCCCAAGGACAGTTCTAACTCTAACCTATGCAACCGTAGTCTCGCTGCAGTTGTCACGTCTACCCCCAGCCGCTGCACTATCTCGAAGCTTGTGCTGGGATGGCTGTATCTGTGAACACACGGGGTCGGTCAATCTCGATTCGAATGTGCGTTCATTTGGGCATTTTGCTAGAATACCCATCGGATCTAAGCGTTTGTTGACGTGATCGAGAGAAGGCGGCGATCTCGGCGTGGCTGGAAACGTGAGTCCCCAAGCATCATATCACGGAACGGGATCCGTTATCGCCTCCTGGAATTGCCGGTAGACCTTTCACATTGTGGTGCCCGTATCCGATTTCCGATCCGCGGTAAACGTAATGCCGACCCTGGAACGGGTTACCATGGCCAATCTGTCGCCTCAACTGCTGTAGTGGGAATTGTATGATGGGTATTATTGTATCGACGTCATCGCGCGGCAGCGGCATCCATGACTTTGCTATAATAGCGCCACAGAACGTCATGTGAAAATCTTGGCGGGCTGCCCGCGCCTTGTAGATCACCATGTGTGGCAGCAAGCACCTACTCCTCGATCACATGCTTTCTCTGCTCCGTTCGTGGCCTTCCCTCGATACCCAAAGGTCCCTGTATGGCAACCAGTTCACCACCCGCGGGAATCTTCGGAGGTCTTACGGCAGGGTATCTGCAGGTGGTTTTTCGACAATGTTGTCGGTAGGATGGTTTTCCGCATGAACTCCGCCTGCGCACTGGTCCATGCTATGGCGCTAGCCGCGATATGTACTGTGGAACTCGGCCGGGCTTGGCATTTAATATCAGCTCCAACGGTCTAGAGAGCCGTCAGAGGTGGCATTCAGTGCGCCCGTGGTCGATAGGACGATGTAGTATCCTTTCGAGAACCTCCGAACCACGAGACCCCACCGTCCAAAGCAATATTGCTGGTGCATCACAAACGGCATAGCCCTACCTTTGGGAGCGCTCGGGGGTTTCTGCGAGCATTCGCCAAGTGACGTTTCTTGTGGAGAAATGTAAGCGTGCTTCCATCAACTATAATAGGGCGCAGCCGTGCAGACATGCCCGGAACTCGAGGCAGAGGTGAGCCGGAGAGCCCAAGGCACATGGGGCTCCGCAACTCCCTAATTATCACATCACACGTATGCCGACTCCCAGAGGCTCCGTGTTTCGTACCGACCGTACACCAAGAGATCTTTTATGGGTAAAGGTTTCCTCTCCTCAGCTGGGGTTGGGGCAACGCTAGTGTTGGTGTTTTATCAAATGTGAAAATGTTTCATTTTGTCCCGAAATGCGCTGAAACGTGTGTCACGCAAATTGGACAAACACCACCAACACCCCTAAACACTCCAGTTTTGTCACTCTCGGGGAACGTTTGACCCCGTGGGCTTTGTTTTGATGTGCAAATACATCCTTCTATTTTCGAGGACGCGCCAGGACGCGCCAGTCTTGTTTTGCCCGTGACATGTACCTTCTCACTGCAGGGGATGCTCAAGTGATACTGCGGTAGTACGGCGGGTTCAATGTCGCTGTGTGTGCAGTGGTCTTGATCAATCATAGGCTCCGTCTGTCCGAAAAATTGTTGGCATATCATCACGCGGCCGAAACATTCCGTTACTCTACGAAAGCATTCGAACGTCGTCCGTGCATCAGCAAATGCTACCTTGTCGTCGCCTTGCCTTGGCACTCGAAGGTAGCTGGCGTACAACAACCTCACCACGCTGCCGGAGGGAATCTTCGGAGCTCGTAGGACCTTGGAATATCTGTAAGTAGTTGCTCGACACGGTTGTGGATAGAATTGTTTTCCGCCTGGGCTCAGCCTGCGCTAGAGAAAATATATCACCGAACGTTTTCCGGTTTGTTTGCAGAGCTGGAGTCGATGCATGTGTTCACAATTTTCTTTTCAAGAGTGAATGTGGATGTCGAACGATTGGTAGGTAGATGCTGGGGAGAGGACCATTGCAGCGCGACTGTCGAAGTCGGCGAGAGTTTGCTACGTTCAAGGCAGCCCCCCTGACAGTCCGATGTTTTCGTGACATCGTATTCCATTCGCAATTGGGAGCTTCAGAGGCCAGGTTCAATGTACTGCGCAAGAAGTTGATTTTGTGGTTCACATGATACTTCGCCCGGGCACTACCTTTCATATCTGTTGTATCCTCGACGATGTATACGTGGCTTACGACGTACGTGCCATATACACTTGAAGCCTGCTGCATTCGGCATGAGATAAACTTTCATTTTCTCAGTGTACTTGGCACATGACCCCAACCTGCCGGTTCCCTGGTAGATCCTTTGCTGCTTCGCCAGCACAAAACGAAACAACCCTGCAAATCCAGGAAATGTGGGCGAACTTCACGCTTGTCGGGAATCATCGTACATGTATGCATACGTTGTCCCAAGGTAGGATTGCAAAAAATCTCAGTTTCCCGATACGGCCCGCCTTTTGGGTTAATTTCGCAGGGTATCCGTCGACTGACTTTTACCTGAATCGGTACACCATCCCACATGTTGTCAGCAGGATACTGGTTCAAATCTCCTTGGGTGCACACTTTTTCTCCTGACTTGGACATTTTCCCATGGGCACAATGTGTGTCAGTCCTGAGAACACCTCTTGGAGTCGATCCTACAAAGAACCCTTGTGACACTTCCATCGAATCACTCATCCTGACCACAAGATTCCCAGTTGAGGGTAGGAGAGGTTCAGGGAGAGTGTTAAGGAGGACCCGATTCGCAGGGTATCCGTCGATTAACTTATACCTGAATCGGTACACCTTCGCATATGGATTGCCACAGCAACCGACTAATTCATTGGGGAGACGGCGCCCAGGAAGGTGCTGCTGACGTTGGGGATGCTATTTCTTGAACGTCCACCGGAGCTATTGATCGGCTCCGTTACCACGCACAGAAAATTCGGCGTTCTTGCGAAATTTCTGAAATGTAAGAAAAAGAGCGAACGAAGCCTGCTGATTGGATGCTGCAGACAGTTCCATCCCTGGGTGCAACTGCAAAACTGCCTTCCCAATTGAGCCGACTCTTTTTCTATAATCCCTATCAAATGTCCCCTCGAAATCGAGGGGACATCCCTCGAAATCGAGGCGACATTTGATAGGGATTATAGACAGCAACCGGCGGGAGCGTGGTAAACGGGGCACGAAAAGGAGGTTATCAAGATATTTCTCAAGAAGGAAAGCGAGACCCTCTTACCCAAGCCCTAGGTCGCCCAGTGCCTCTTATCAACGGTGGGCTAGGCACTTCTTCCGCGCTTGCCCCTAGTGGCGCTTTCCACCCAAGGGTAGACAGACCCGGCGCAACGTTGAACCCGCGGCGTAATCGTCCCGCGATTCGACCTGTTCATTACCCTCACAGTCTACTCCTCTACTCGACAAAGCATCCACACTAGGCTAGAGTCGTCCCCGTGTACCCTGGCACCCCCCTGGTTGAGTAGTTCAAAGGAGGAGACAATCATGCCAGTCTTCGCGAGGTAAAGTAGGTGAAGAAGATGGGGACAAAAAGTGTCTACAAAAGGCGATCTAGCCCTGAAGGGGGGCACTTTTCTGCCTGGCTCCGTTTTACGCGAGGGGGGCACGTCAACTCGATCGACCCGCTGTAGGAGCGGGTAGGGTCAAAGCTCTGTGTAAGCTAGAGCCGCTTGAAGCCATGTGTGGGCTAGAGCCCTGTGTGGCTGGGGCTGTGTTTAAGCCATGACGAAGCTGTTTGTGAGCTGGGGCTGTGTGTGAGTTGGAGCTCTGCGTGAGCAGCTCTGTGTGAGCGAAAGAGATCACTGTGTGCAGTTCAGCAGCTGGCATGCCTGGAGGAGCTCAATTCGACAGCTGCAGGGGATCGTGGGGCCAAAGACACAACAGCAAAGCCATCGTGTATCTCTTCGCCATGCCACTGCACCGAGGGACATCGGGACGCCGAGGGACTTCTGGTGTGGGCGTGTGAGAAGGGGAAGGGGAACCGGTACCAGCTGCGCGGTGGATTCCGCGGGCACTAACTTTACATCGGTTGGTTTTTTTTTTTTTTTGTGTGTGGAGTTGATGTAACGACGAGCGTTTGGTTTTCACGGAATAGTCGCAGGAGAGGCGCTTAACACAGGTTCCAAGTTTTAGAAAGACAAATGTCGACAATTTTGACAATAAAGTCGGTCCGTTTAAAACGGCCGTTACTAGGGTTTGAAGATATCGGCTGTGTGAGGGACGCGAGGGTGAAATGTTCCCATCGTCCGCCTGCTTGAGTTTCAAGGAATCCTCACAAATATTTTGTCTGCGTAGTTGCAGAATAGGGGAGGTTGACGATGTGCGTAGTTGTTTCGGAGAGTATTATGCATGGAGAGTTCACGCCCGGTCTGGGAGTATTTTGCAATTTGTACTCTGCGTGACCGCCAAAATCTGAGACCACAGGTCGTGGAGAAACACTTTCCTCTACGCCGAAAACTCCTTGTCGCAAACACACAATTCTCGAACCTTAAAGCCTTCAAGAAAACATCGGCGTGTTCGCCAGACCCACTCTTTTTGGCTTCGCTCACGACTTTCCTGCATGCCGCGTTTATCTGCTTCACGTAGTTTTTCGCATCTATGCTTTTCTCTAGCATGTGCGTCGCGATTAGGGTGTCGTTGTGGAACTCGCGGAGGAGTATGGGGTTCTTGTCGACTTGACTTCTTGGTCTTGCATGCATCAAATACGAGCGCTTTGGAGGAGCGGCAGAACTCCACAGCTTGACCGCCGGATCCTCGATCCCGTTCCTCTCGTTCGATGCTTGCTGCTGCGCGATCAGGTACAGCTGCGTGATGTGGTAAAACACCAGCTCGAAGCAGATATACGCGGCATGCAGGAAAGACGCGAGCGAAGCCAACAAGAGTGGGACTGGCGAACGCGCTGATGCTTTCTTGAAGGCTTTTAGGGTCGAGAACTGTGTCGGCATGTTCTCCAGTCCCACTCTTTTTGGCTTCGCTCGCGGTGTCCTGCATGCCGCGTTAATGTGCTTCACGTACTTTTCGCATCTTCGCTTTTATCCAGCATATGCGCCGCAATTAGGATGTCGTTGTAGAACTCGCTGAGGAGCATCGGGTTCTTGTCAATTTGACTTTCTGGCCTTGCAGGCATCAAATACGAGCGTTTTCGAGGAGCGGCAGAACCCCACAGCTTGACCGCCGCATCCTCGATCCTGTTCCTCTCGTTTGATGCTTGCTGCGCGATCAGGCACAGCTGCGCGAGGTGGTAAACATCAGCTCGAAGCAGATAAACGCGGCATGCAGAAAAGCAGCGAGCGAAGCCACAAAGAGTGGGACTGGCGAACACGCCGATGCTTTCTTGAAGGCTTTTGGGTTCGCCAACTGAGTCGGCGTGTTCGCCAGTCCCACTCTTTGTGGCTTCGCTCGCTGCTTTTCTGCATGCCGCGTTTATCTGCTTCGAGCTGATGTTTACCACCTCGCGCAGCTATGCCTGATCGCGCAGCAACAAGCATCGAATGGGAGGAACAGGATCGAGGATGCGGCTTTCAAGCTGTGGGGTTCTGCCGCTCCTCCAAACCGCTCGTATTTGATGCATGCAAGGCCAGAAAGTCAAGTCAACAAGAACCTGACGCTCCTCCGCGAGTTCTACAACGACATCCTAAAAAGTGTCGGAGGTGGTCGGATTGACCGACGCGGCAACACCACCCACACCACACTGCCGGCATCGACGCCGCGAGTGTCCCGGCTGCCAGTAGCAGCAGCAGCAGCAGCAGCAGCAGCAGCAGCAGCAGCAGCAGCACCGCCACCATCATCACACGCCCTGGGCCATGGTAAGCGACGACGGAACTGAAGAAACCCAGACGGCAAAGACTCCAGCCAGGGGATCGAAACCCACACCAGGACCCCGCCCAGGAAAACACGCAGTCGACACCCTCCCTTATTATGCAATCACACAGCTACCCAAAATACGGGAGGGTGACGTTGTGCGTGTTTTCATGGGTGGGCCCTGCTGTGGGTTTCGATTCCCTGATTGGAGCCTTTGCCGTCAGGCTTTCTTCAGTTTCGTCGTCGCTTAATATGGCCCGGGGCATGTGACGATGGTGGCGGCGGCGGTTGCAGAGTAAGGAAGGGCGACGACGTGCGTGTTTGTTTCGGAGAGTTGGTGTTTGGAGAGTTCACGCTCGGTCCGGAGATATTCTACAATTTGGACAACGTGACCGACTAAAGCTGAGACCACAAATCGTGGAGATACACTTTCCTCTGCGCCGAACCCCTCGTTGCAAACACACAGCTCTATAACCTTAAAGCCTTCAAGAAAGAATTGGCGTGCACGCCAGTCCCACTCTTGCTGGCTTCGCTCATGGCTGTCCCGCATGCCGTGTTTTTGTGCTTCGACCGGATGTTTACCGCCTCGTGCAGCTGTGCCTAATCGCGCAGCAACAAGCGTCGAACGGGAGGAGCAGGATCGAGCATGGGGTGGTCAGGCTGTGGAGTGCTGCTGCTCCTCCAAACCGCTCCTATTTGATGCATGCAAGGCCAGAAAGTCAAGTCAACAAGAACATCATGCTGCTCCGCGAGTTCTACAACGACATCCTCAAAGTGTCGGAGGTGGTAGGATTGGCCGACGCGGCAATGCCACCTACACCACTGCCGGCATCGGCGCCGCGAGTGTCCCGGCTGCCAGCAACAGTAGCATCGCCACCACCATCGTCACACGCCCCAGGCCATGGAAAACGACGACGGAACTGAAGAAAACCCTACGCTAAAAACTCCAACCAGGGAATCGAAACCCACGCCAGGCCCCCGCCGAGGAAAACAAGCACGTCGTCAGCTGGTTGCAAAAAAAGGGAGGGTGACGACGTGCGTGTTTTCCTCGGCGGGGGCCTGGCGTGGGTTTCGATTCCCTGGTTGGAGTTTTTAGCGTAGGGTTTTCTTCAGTTCCGTCGTCGTTTTCCATGGCCTGGGGCGTGTGACGATGGTGGTGGCGATGCTACTGTTGCTGGCAGCCGGGACACTCGCGGCGCCGATGCCGGCAGTGGTGTAGGTGGCATTGCCGCGTCGGCCAATCCTACCACCTCCGACACTTTGAGGATGTCGTTGTAGAACTCGCGGAGCAGCATGATGTTCTTGTTGACTTGACTTTCTGGCCTTGCATGCATCAAATAGGAGCGGTTTGGAGGAGCAGCAGCACTCCACAGCCTGACCACCCCATGCTCGATCCTGCTCCTCCCGTTCGACGCTTGTTGCTGCGCGATTAGGCACAGCTGCACGAGGCGGTAAACATCCGGTCGAAGCACAAAAACACGGCATGCGGGACAGCCATGAGCGAAGCCAGCAAGAGTGGGACTGGCGTGCACGCCAATTCTTTCTTGAAGGCTTTAAGGTTATAGAGCTGTGTGTTTGCAACGAGGGGTTCGGCGCAGAGGAAAGTGTATCTCCACGATTTGTGGTCTCAGCTTTAGTCGGTCACGTTGTCCAAATTGTAGAATATCTCCGGACCGAGCGTGAACTCTCCAAACACCAACTCTCCGAAACAAACACGCACGTCGTCGCCCTTCCTTACTCTGCAACCGCCGCCGCCACCATCGTCACATGCCCCGGGCCATATTAAGCGACGACGAAACTGAAGAAAGCCTGACGGCAAAGGCTCCAATCAGGGAATCGAAACCCACAGCAGGGCCCACCCATGAAAACACGCACAACGTCACCCTCCCGTATTTTGG